TCCCTTTCAAAAGTGGTGTCCCTAGTTAACGTTACTAAGGTGATGTCCCTCACTACCCTTACTAGAGTGATGTCAATTACAACCCTTACTAGAGTGGTGTCCCTCACTTCACTTACTAGTGTGGTGTCCCTCACTACGCTTACTAGAGTGATATCCCTCACTACTCTTACAAGAGTGGTGTCCCTCATTTCCGTTACTAGAATGGTATCCCTCACTACCCTTACTAGAGTGGTGTCCCTCACTACACTTACTAATAGTAGTGTCCCTACTACCCTTACTAGAGTGATGTCTCTCATTACCGTTTCTAGAGTATTGTCCCTCATTATCCTTACTAGTGTCCTTCAGTAGTGTCCCTTACTACTCTTACTACAGCGGTGTCACTTACAACCCATACTAGAGTATTGTCCTTCACTACCCTAACTAGTGAGGTGTCCATCACTACCCTTACTAGAGTGGTGTCGTCACTACCTTTACTAGAGTAGTGTACCTCACTACCCTTACTAGAGTCGTGTCCCTAAATACCCTTACTGGAGTGGTGTCCCTCACTACCCTTACTAGAGTGGTGTCCATCACTACCCTTTCTAGACTGGTGTTACGCACTACCCTTACTAGAGTGGTGTACCTCAATACCGTTACTAAAGTTGTGTCCCCCACTACCCTTGCTAGATCGGTGTCCCCAACTACCCTTATTAAAGTGGTGCCCCTCACTACCCTTACCAGAGTGGTGTCCCTCACTACCCTTACTAGAGAGGTGTCCCTGATTACCCTTACTAGAGTATTTCCCCTAACTAACCTTTCTAGGTTGGTATCCCTCACTACCCATACTAGAGTGGTGTCCCTAACTTCCCTAACCAGAGTGGAGCCCCACAATAACGTTATTAGCGTGGTGTCCCTCACTATCCTTACTAGAGTGATGTCCCTCACTACCCTTACTAGAGTGGTGTCTCTCACTACCCTTACAATAGTGGTGTCCCTCACTACTCTTCCCAGAAAGGTTTCCGTCTCTGCCCTTACTAGAGTCTAGTCCCTTACTACCCTTACTAGCGTGGTGTCCATGACTACCCTTACCAGAGTGGTTTCCCTCACTACCTTTACGAGAGTGGTGTCCCTCAGTACCCTTACTGGAGTGGTGTCCCCCACTACCCTTACAAGAGTGATGTCACTCACTGCTCGTACTAGAATAGTGTCCCTGACTACTCTTGCTGGAGTGGTGTCCCTCAATACCCTTACTTATGTGGTGTCCCTCAGTACCCTTTCTAGAGTAGTGTCCCTCAGTACCCTCACCAGAGTGGTGCCCCTCACTACACTTACTAGATTTGTGGGCCTCACTACCCTTACTAGAGTTGTGTCGCTCACTACCCTTACAAGAGTGGTCTCGCTCAGTACCCTTACTAGAGTGGAGTCTCTCAGTACCCTTACTAGAGAGGTGTCCCTCAGTACTCTTACTAGAGTGGTGTACCTTATTACCCTGACTAGAATGGTGTCTCTCACTACACTTTCTAGAGTGGTGTCCCTCAACACCCTTACTTAAGTGGTGTCCCTCAGTGCTCATGCTTTAGTGATGTCCCTCACTACCCTTACGAGAGTGGTGTCCCTCATTTCCCTTACTAGAACAACGGTGTCCCTCACTACCCTTACTAGAATGGTGTCCCCCACTACGCTTACAAGAGAGGTGTCCCTAACTAACCTTTCGGTGGTGGTGTAACTCACAACCCTTACTTGAGTGGTGCCCTTAACTTCACTTACTAGTGTGGTGTTACTCTCTTCCCTTACTAGAATGATATCCCTCACTTCCCTTACTGTAGTGGAGTCCTTCACTAACGTTACTAGAGTGGTGACCCTCACATTCCTTACTAGTGTGGTGTCCCTCACTACGCTCACTAGAGTGATGTCCCTCACTATGCATACTAGAGTGGTGTCCCTCACTACCCTTAGTAGATTGGCGTCCCTAACTTCCCTTACTAGAGTGGTGTCCCTCACTAACCTTACTAGAGTTGTGTCCCTCACTACCCTTACTAAAGTGGTGTCCCTTACTACCCTTACTAAAGTGGTGTCCACCACTACCCTTACTAGAATGGTGTCCTTCACTACCCTTACTAGAGTGGTGTCCCTCACTACCCTTAGTAGAGTGGCGTCCCTAACTTCCCTTTCTAGAGTGGTGTCCCTCACTAACCTTACTAGAGTGGTGTCCCTCACTACCCTTACTAGAGAGAATCGCTTAGTACCCTTAATAGAGTGGTGTCCTGCACTACACTTACTAGAATGGAATCCTTCACTACCCTTACTAGAGTGGTGTCCCTCACTACCCTTATCAGAGTTTTGTCCCACACTACTTTTACTGGAGTGGTGTCCCCAGTACCCTTACTACAGTTGTGTCCCTCACTACATTTACTAGTGTGGTGTCAGTCACTTCCCTTAATAGAGTGGAGTCCCACTTTACCCTATCCAGTGTGGTGTCCCTCACTTCCCTTTCTAGAATGGTATCCCTCACTTCCCCTACTAGATTGGTGTCCCCACTACCCTTACTAGAGTGTTGTCCCTGACTATCCTTACTAGATTGATGTCCCTCACTTCCCTTACTAGAATGGTGTCCCTCACTACCTTTACTAGAGTGTGTCCCCCAAAAGCCTTATTCGAGTGGTGTCCCTCACTTCCCTTACTGGAGTCGTGTCCCTCACTAAACTTACTACAGTGGTGTCTCCCTCTACCCTTACTATAGTGGTGTCTCTCAGTACGCTTACTAGAGTAGTGTCACCAACTACCCTTACTAGAGTGGTGTCCCTCAGTATCCTTATTGGAGTGGTGTCCGTCACTACCCTTACTAGAGTGGTGTCCCTCTCTACTCTTACTATAGTGGTGTCTCTCAGCACGCTTACTAGAGTGGTGTCCCTCATTACCCTTACTAGAGTGGTCTCCCTCAGCATTCTTATTGGAGTGGTGTCCCTCACTACCCTTACTAGAGTGGTGTCCCCATTTACACTTATTATAGTGGTGTCTCTCAGTACGCTTCCTAGAGTGATGTCCCTCACTATGCTTACTAGAGTGGTGTCCCTCACTACCCTTACTGGAGTGGTGTCCCTCCCTACCCTTACTAGAGTGGTGCCCCTCACTACCCTTACTAGAGTGGTGTCCCTCACTACCCTTACTAGAGTGGTGTTCCTCACTACCCTTACTAGAGTGGTGTCCCTCACTACCCTTACTAGAGTGGTGTCCCCACTGCCCTTACTAGAGCGGTGTCCCCAACTACCCTAACCAGAGTGGTGTCCCCCACTACCCTTACCAGAGTTGTGTCCCTGACTACCCTTACTAGAGTGGTGTCCTTGACTACCCTTACTAGAGTGGTGTCCCTCGATAGCCTTACTTAAGTGGTGTCCCTCAGTATTCTTACTAGAGTGGTGTCCCTCAGTACCCTTACCAGAGTGCTGTCCCTCACTACCCTTACTAGTGTCGTTCGGTACCCTTACTAGAGTGGTGTCCCTTACTACCCTTACTAGAGTGGTGTCCCTCAGTACCCTAACTATAGTGGTGTCTCTCACAACCCTTACTAGAGTGGTGTCCCTCACTACCCTTACTAGAGTGGTGTCCATCACTACCCTTTTTAGAGTGGTGTCAATCACTACCATTACTAGAATGGTGTCTCTCACTGCCCTTACTTGAGTGGTGTCCCTCACTACCCTTACTAGAGTGGTGTCCCTCACTACCCTTACTAGAGTGGTGTCCCTCAGTACCCTTACTAGATTGGTGTCCCTCAATACCCTTACCAGAGTGGTGTCCTTCGCTACCTTTACTAAAGTGTTCTCTCTCAGTACCTCAGTAAAGTGGTGTCCCTCAGTACCCTTACTACAGTGGTGTCCCACAGTACCCTTGCTAGGGTGGTGTGCCTGGCTACCGTTACTAGAGTGGTGTCCTTTAGTATCCTTTCTGGAGTGGTGTCCCTCACTACCCTTACTAGAGTTGTGTCCCCCACAACCCTTACTAGATTGGTATCCCTCTGTTCCCTTACTGTCGTTTTGTCACTCAGAAGCCATGCTAGAGTGGTGTCCCTCACTTCCCTTACTAGAGTGGTGTCTCTCAGTACCCTTAATAGAGTGTTGTCCCTCACTACCCTTTCTTGAGTGGAGTCCCCCACTACCCTTCCTAAAGTGGTGTCCCCCACTACCCTTACTAGAGTGGCGTCCCTCTCTACCGTTACTAGTGTGAAGAACTATACCTCGGTGGATGAATTTTATTATTAGTCTGGCATGACTTAGTGGTTAGATAGCTGATTTTGGCAGTTGTTGAATTTTGCTTATTACTGTGACGCTCTGCTAGCTTACGTTGTGTTCTCAAGATTTTAAGCTTTTAACAGTAACATTGTGTTGGTTTCGTTATTTTGAGCTACACATTCAGATGTTTGTTTGTCATATGTTACTAGCTAGTACCAAGGGCTCTCTCTTTTTTATTTTTTTAGTTGTTTTTCATGTATCTGTTAGATTATCTAGAAATAATGCTTGTACTGTAAACGTTACTTTGACACCTGAATGGAAAAACCACGTGAGATTTCTCTGTTTTGAGAAAACTTTATTGAGATTAAATTAAGCTTTGGCAACTAAAATATACAGGATTTTTTGTCACAAAATTTAAATGTAAAATGACAAAAAATTATATGTAGCAAAATGTAAGAAAAAAAAATAATTCTGAATAAAATATACTGGTGAATCTTCTGATTATATCTCTGGATGTATTTACCACTGTCACTGCTTGGAGATCATTAAGGCTTCGTTTCACTTGTATACAGTAAATGTGTAATACATTAATATCTAAATTGTGGATTAAAGTAACTTCTCTGTGTATGTGCAATGATATACATATCTGTATATATGAAACATGTTCCTATATATAAACACCTGTACTGTTATTGTCTTGCTCTTAAGATCACTAAACACTTGTAGGGAGTAATATGGAAAGTTGTTATACACGTTCAGCACAGATGCAATAACATATTCCATCTACTGTTTACAGACTGTCTGCCAGAGAGAAAGTGGAGTAGACGGTGGGAAGGATCCCATGTGGAGATGACAGTGTGGCTCACAGAAGAAAGTGTAATGACTGACCCAGAGCAGTCACTTTTGACCTTCACTATGGAACCAATTGGCTCATCACGTCCCTATGACTATGATGTCGTCCGTATGAGCCGCCACCAAGTGGAAATAATTAGTTTCAGGAATGGTAACCCGAACAAGAGTGAGCTGTCTCTGCCACAACCCCTGCCTGTTGGCTGGGCAGCATTTAACCTATCATCAACATCGCTCACAGAGTTGTGGCTCCTACCACATACGAAACTTGTGTCATTATCCGCTGATATGACCATTGCCAATCTCAATATAGATGGCAGCAATATCACGGTCGGTTGCCATCACAGTAAGTATTTTGATTTAGTTCCCTTGGTTTAAAGCCTATCGACATTACTCGAGTTATAGAAGCTGCACATCATGTGTTCTCTAACAGTCAATGATATTTCAGCCTTAGTAAAAAGATAATTAAATTCTGAGCCTATGCACAAATAACTTTAATTATAAATAAATTTTTTAAATATGTGTATTTTTTTGGCAAATAATTAAATTACAGCATCTTACATAGAGCATCAGATTGTGTCGAACGTTAAAAGACCTTTAAAGTATTTTAAAATAACTTGACATCATTGAGAAATCGTAAAGAAGTGAGCAAAAATTTACTAAAAATAAGGACACATGTGCAACACATGAAACACTGAGTTACGGTACATTTTAGCTCCCCTTGAGTTTTGTCAAGTTATTGTCTTGAGAAAGATTGTGGAGAAAAAAAAACGTTACTGCAGTTAAATGTCTCATTAATCGCACATGTGTCGTCTTAGTCAACAATTTGTCGGTAATTCTACAAACATTATTACAATAAAGATGTGAAGAAAATACCATACTTGCCAGTGTGTGCCTGGAAAACAGTGCCATAGAGAGCAAATTATCCCAATTCTCTAGATTTTCTCCCTTCTTCTCCCTTTACTGTTTTCCCTTGTAAAGCTGTTATTAAAGCCCATAAAGCAACATTAAAATTAGTGTTTTTTTTAAGAAAGCACCTCAGTGAACAGATATTACCGAACTCGCTTCTTCAGAACAGGTTGGTTAATTTGTCTTGGTCGCTGTTTGACCAACTGCACAAGTTAGTTCTTACCAAGAATATTAGTCTGCTAAAACATGAGAGGAAAACGATATTGACTGAAGCGAGAAAACCAAAACAAATGTTCTTCAACTGTCACTGGAGCGGCAAGGTCATATATTAGATTACATATATATAGGAAGGGGCGGGGGTAGAATAGTGAGACGGAAAACTGAATATTTACATGCTGGAAAATAAACCTTTCGGGAGTGGAACTTATCCTGGACCCGGCTGCTTAAAGCTCCCGCTTCACACACGGAGGACACGGGTTCGATTCCTGGCGGGTGGAAACATTTCGACGTGTTTCCTTACACCTGTTGTCCTGTTCACCTAGCAGCAAATAGGTACCTGGTGATAGTAGACTGGTGAAGGTCGCATCCTGGGGGAAAAGATTGAGGACCTCAATGGAAACTAATTAGACACTCCTGGATGAAGCACTGACTTTCTTAGGTTATCCTGGGTGGATAACCCTCCTGGGTTAAAAATCCTTTCTAATCTCTTAGCTGTAGGACATATATATATATATATATATATATATATATATATATATATATATATATATATATATATATATATACATATAAGGTAGTAGGTTGGTAGACAGCAACCACCCATGGAACTACTACCGTCCTGCCAGATGACTGTGAAACAGAAACCTGTAACTGTTTTACATGATGGAAGGATTGCTGGTTTCTTTTTCTGTCTCATAAAAACGCTAGATAACAGGGATATCTTGCTACTCCAACTTACACTTTGGTCACACTTCACAGACACGTACATGCATATATATATACATACATCTAGGTTTTTCTCCTTTTTCTAAATAGCTCTTGTTCTTCTTTATTTCTTCTATTGTCCATGGGGAAGTGGAAAAGAATCTTTCCTCCGTAAGCCATGCGTGTCGTATGAGGCGACTAAAATGCCGAGACCAATGGGCTAGTAACCCCTTCTCCTGTAGACATTTACTAAAAAAGAGAAGAAGAAAAACTTTATAAAACTGGGATGCTTGAATGTGCGTGGATGTAGTGCGGATGACAAGAAACAGATGATTGCTGATGTTATGAATGAAAAGAAGTTGGATATCCTGGCCCTGAGCGAAACAAAGCTGAAGTGGGTAGGGGAGTTTCGGTGGGGGGAAATAAATGGGATTAAATCTGGAGTATCTGAGAGAGTTAGAGCAAAGGAAGGGGTAGCAGTAATGTTGAATGATCAGTTATGGAAGGAGAAAAGAGAATATGAATGTGTAAATTCAAGAATTATGTGGATTAAAGTAAAGGTTGGATGCGAAAAGTGAGTCATAATAAGCGTGTATGCACCTGGAGAAGAGAAGAATGTAGAGGAGAGAGAGAGATTTTGGGAGATGTTAAGTGAGAGAGTAATTGTGATAGGGGACCTGAATGCTAAAGTAGGAGAAACTTTTAGAGAGGGTGTGGTAGGTAAGTTTGGGGTGCCAGGTGTAAATGATAATGGGAGCCCTTTGAATGAACTTCGTATAGAAAGGGGTTTAGTTATAGGTAATACATATTTTAAGAAAAAGAGGATAAATAAGTATACAAGATATGATGTAGGGCGAAATGACAGTAGTTTGTTGGATTATGTATTGGTAGATAAAAGACTGTTGAGTAGACTTCAGGATGTACATGTTTATAGAGGGGCCACAGATATATCAGATCACTTTCTAGTTGTAGCTACACTGAGAATAAAAGGTAGATGGAATACAAGGACAATAGAAGCATCAGGGAAGAGAGAGGAGAAAGTTTATAAACTAAAAGAGGAGGCAGTTAGGGTAAGATATAAACAGCTATTGGAGGATAGATGGGCTAATGAGAGCATAGGCAATGGGGTCGAAGAGGTATGGGGAAGGTTTAAAAATGTAGTGTTAGAGTGTTCAGCAGAAGTTTGTGGTTACAGGAAAGTGGGTGCGGCAGGGAAGAGGAGCGATTGGTGGAATGATGATGTAAAGAGAGTAGTAAGGGAGAAAAAGTTAGCAAATGAGAAGTTTTTGGAAAGTAGAAGTGATGCAAGGAGGGAAGAGTATATGAAGAAAAAGAGAGAGGTTAAGAGAGTGGTGAAGCAGTGTAAAAAGAGAGCAAATAAGAGAGTGGGTGAGATGTTATCAAAAATTTTGTTGAAAATAAGAAAAAGTTTTGGAGTGAGATTAACAAGTTAAGGAAGCCTAGAGAACAAATGGATTTGTCAGTTAAAATTAGGAGAGGAGAGTTATTAAATGGAGAGTTAGAGGTATTGGGAAGATGGAGGGAATATTTTGAGGAATTGTTAAATGTTGATGAAGATAGGTAAGCTGTGATTTCGTGTATAGGCAAGGAGGAATAACATCTTGTAGGAGTGAGGAAGAGCCAGTTGTGAGTGTGGGGGAAGTTCGTGTGGCAGTAGGTAAAATGAAAGGGGGTAAGGCAGCCGGGATTGATGGGATAAAGATAGAAATGTTAAAAGCAGGTGGGGATATAGTTTTGGAGTGGTTTGTGCAATTATTTAATAAATGTATGGAAGAGGGTAAGGTACCTAGGGATTGGCAGAGAGCATGCATAATTCCTTTGTATAAAGGCAAAGGGGACAAAAGAGAGTGCAAAAATTATAGGGGGATAAGTCTGTTGAGTATACCTGGTAAAGTGAATGGTAGAGTTATTATTGAAACAATTAAGAGTAAGACTGAGAATAGGATAGCAAATGAACAAGGAGGCTTTAGGAAAGGTAGGGGGGTGTGTGGACCAGGTGTTTACAGTGAAACATACAAGTAAACAGTATTTAGATAAGGCTAAAGAGGTCTTTGTGGCATTTATGGATTTGGAAAAGGCATATGACAGGGTGGATAGGGAGGCAATGTGGCAGATGTTGCAGGTGTATGGTGTAGGAGGTAGGTTACTGAAAGCAGTGAAGAGTTTTACGAGGATAGTGAGGCTCAAGTTAGAGTATGTAGGAACGAGGGAAATTATTTCCCAGTAAAAGTAGGCCTTAGACAAGAATGTGTGATGTCACCGAGGTTGTTTAATATATTTATAGATGGGGTTGTAAGAGAAGTAAATGCGAGGGTCTTTGCAAGAGGCGAGGAGTTAAAAGATAAAGAATCACACATAAAGTGGGAGTTGTCACAGTTGCTCTTTGCTGATGACACTGTGCTCTTGGGAGATTCTGAAGAGAAGTTGCAGAGATTGGTGGATGAATTTGGTAAGGTATGCAAAAGAAGAAAATTAAAAGTGGATACAGGAAAGAGTAAGGTTATGAGGATGACAAAAAGATTAGGTGATGAAAGATAGGATATCAGATTGGAGGGAGAGAGTATGGAGGAGGTGAATGTATTCAGATATTTGGGAGTGGACGTGTCAGCGAATGGGTCTATGAAAGATGAGGTGAATCATAGAATTTATGAGGGGAAAAGGTAAAGTGGTGCACTTAGGAGTCTGTGGAGACAAAGAACTTTGTCCTTGGAGGCAAAGAGGGGAATGTATGAGAGTATAGTTTTACCAACGCTCTTATATGGTTGTGAAGCATGGGTGATGAATGTTGCAGCGAGGAGAAGGCTGGAGGCAGTGGAGATGTCATGTCTAAGGGCTATGTGTGGCATGAATATAATGCAGAGAATTCGTAGTTTGAAAGTTAGGAGGAGGTGCGGGATTACCAAAACTGTTGCCCAGAGGGCTGAGGAAGGGTTGTTGAGGTGGTTCGGACATGTAGAGAGAATGGAGTGAAACAGAATGACTTCAAGAGTGTATCAGTCTGTAGTGGAAGGAAGGCGGGGTAGGGGTCGGCCTAGGAAAGGTTGGAGGGAGGGGGTAAAGGAGGTTTTGTGTGCGAGGGGCTTGATCTTCCAGCAGGCATGCGTGAGCGTGTTTGATAGAAGTGAATGGAGACAAATGGTTTTTAATGCTTGACGTGCTGTTGGAGTGTGAGCAAAGTAACATTTATGAAGGGGTTCAGGGAAACCGGCAGGCCAGACTTGAGTCCTGGAGATGGGAAGTACAGTGCCTGCACTCTGAAGGAGGGGTGTTAATGTTGCAGTTTAAAAACTTCAGTGTAAAGCACCCTTCTGGCAAGACAGTGATGTAGTGAATGATGGTGAAAGTTTTTCTTTTTCGGGCCACCCTGCCTTGGTGGGAATCGGTCAGTGTGATAATAAATAAATAATATATATATATATATATATATATATATATATATATATATATATATATATATATATATATATATATATATATATATATATATATATATATATGTATATATATATATATATGTCGTGTCGAATATGTAAAACTGGTTAATTAGCAAGAACTAATTTAAAATTAAGTCCTTTCTAAAATTTTCTCTTATACGTTTATAGATATATTTTTTTCATTAATGTTGATGTAAAAAATTATAATTTTGCACCAGAAGAATCTTAGAAAACTTACCTAACCTTAATATAACAAGAACAATTTATTTTAGCCTAACCCAACTAAATATATTTTAGATTTGTTTACGATAATTTAATACTAAACAAACACAGTGAAACATATTTTTTTTCGTTAGGTTTAGAATGATTTTGGCGAAATTATTGCATACACAAATTTTCACTAGTCCTATATGGCAAGATGAGCGTTGCTATTTAAGCCAAGATCGCAAGTTCTGCCTATTCAGCACGACATATATATATATATATATATATAATATATTATATATATATATATATATATTATATATATATATATATATATATATATATATATATATTATATATATATATATATATATATATATATATATATATATATGGTGTTTACTTCCAAAATATGCAGAGAGAAAATGTATTATTGCCTTAACTGAGAAATTCAATCTGATCGTAGTTGTATTGTGTGAGTCAATACTCAACTATTTTACTGAGTATTATGCAAGAAAAATGTGGGGTAATGGGAAGTAATTCTCCAAGGGAGAAGTTTCACAGTTCAATTTCTGCTACTCTTATTATATTTTCATAATTCCTGATTTAATATTTTCTTATTCTCGCGAATAATATTTTTCTAAATGAAACGATTTAGAAAAGCGAAGTTAAATTTTATCATAATAAATGCACATATTTTGCAGATGTGTTTGGCTGGAATGTCGCTGAGGGCCGGGCAGTGACAGTGCCACTGCCTCACCGTCACCGTCACTACGTCAGTACATATTCCAACACTGCCTCACAACCCAGACTCACGTTGGGAGACACTACACTACAACTGGGATGGGATGGTTCTACTTTGGTTGACGTGACTCAGTATGACAATAAATATCAGAGACCTCTACCAACAGCCACTGAACATCACCTCGTTATCTCTTGCAATTCTTCTTATGTTGAAGCTGTTATCTGTAACATTGAGGTAAATATGATATAGATACACTACAGAGTCATGCATATCAGTGATGCTCTCACAGACAATCAGAACAAATTTAGACCTAGCATATTCTTTTTTTGTTCGTCAACATCGCGGCTAATGAGAAATCTTAAATATATTTCAGGCAGGGAAGAAAATCTTGAAAACTGTGAATTTAGGTGAGTTACCAACCTCGGTAACTTTTCATGAAAAATCAGAGGAGCAGTTCTATGTATTCTATCACCGAGTTAATGACAATGTTACTGACGTTTCAGTATCTTCATCTCCTGCAGGTAAGAAAACTGATTTTATTGAACTGTTGCTTATTTCTTGAAATTCAGATAATGTGTATTCTCCTTCCTCTTCTCAGAAATAATGCGCTAACACATGCCTCGTGGGAATCTCTCTTGGAAAAGTTATATGATGTTGATTGCAGAATGAAATTGAAAATAAAATATAAAAACACATCAAATTTCCTTTCCTGGATACGCTTGTAATCAGAGATAATCAATCAGCTGAAATTATTCTTGAACATAATTACACTGAGTTGGGGAAACATATTTTATCTAGACACTAATTTCAGCAGTTTTAGGGAAGTGCAGTCCTGAGTTTCCTCTGGATATCCAGTTGCCTAACATAAAGATTGTGATAAGTGAGCGGGAGACTTGTGTTAACTTATTTATGATGCTGAATAAGTGAAGTCAGGTGCTAGACGTCTGGTCAGGTGAACAGGTTAGTATCTGGTGAACCTTTCTTGGACTTAGCATGGGTAAAATCAAGTGCTAACCATCTGGTTAGGATATGCATGTTTTTAGACGGGCAACGGATTCATCATACCATTTTTATTATCTGAAGTTACAGTGAGAGTAAAAGAGAGATGGGGTTCAAGGAGAATGGTTTCAGAAAATGAGAGAGAGGCGAAGGTTAATAAACTAAAGTAGGAGGCAGTTAGGTAAGATATAAGAAACTATTTATAGAAAG